ACATGAATCATATATCATGTCATTAGTTCATGTGTTTGAAAAATGAACAAAATTTTGGGAGTCCAAATCATTTGATCATAATCAATAACTCCAACAAGGATAACAACAAAAAAATAGAAAGAAAATAACAGATGAAATATGGAATAATAACATATTACAACTATTAAACCAACACGACGTATACATGATGTTAATTTTCACATCATTACATTATATATTTGACTGTGAATGTTCACAGCCAAATTTATGGTGTGAATATTCAATGTGAATGTTACAATGTGAATATTAACATTATATTCAGAATGTGAATATTAACATTATATTCAGAATGTGAATATTAAAATTATGTTTAGAATGTTACAATGCGAATATTAACATTATGTTCAGAATGTAATTATTGGCATTATGTTCAGAATGTTGCAATGCGAATATTAACATTATGATCAGAATGTAATTATTGACATTATGTTCAGAATGTACATATTGACATTGATGTCACTCAATAACAAGTGAAACAATAAGATGTTATTATTTACAACATGCCTACAAGAATTCAGATGTAACCAAAATATGGTTGACAACTATCCAAAGTTTGGTCTATAATTATTTTATGACCATCAACAACTACCAACACCAACAAGTTTGACATTGACACAAGGGAGGAGATAAGGAGTGTTTTACAAAATAATAACACATGACAATTTAAGACAAATAAGTCATTATCAATATTTGACAATCTGATGCAAATATTGACAATATGTATAATAGGATTCACATTGAACCAAAAGAGGGTTAACAACCATCAAAGATTAGGGGCTCTAATTTTTCATAACCATCACCAAGCAATAATACCAATAGCTCTGTAAATATTTACATCATATTCCATTGATGTCAGAAGGTGAATATTGACATTATGTTCATAATGTGAATATCACCATTGATGTCACAATGTGAATATTGATATTATGTTCAGAATGTGCATATTGACATTGATGTTAATCAATAACAAGTGAAACAATAAGATGTTATTATTTACAGCATGTCTACAAGGATTCACATGTAACCAAAACAGGGTTGGCAACCATCCAAGTTTAGACTGTAATTATTTCATGATCATCAACAACCAACAACTAGGAGCGGAGGCAACATAGGGCCAGGGGGGTCATGTGTTCCCCTCCTCAGTTTTTTTTTTTTTTTTTGGTTTTTTTTTATAAAACGTATTCTCTTTTTTTTTTTTTCTTAACATGTTCTTTGGTTAAGGATTTATTATATTGTTCACAATAAGTAGTTATTTAATATTTTGGGAACACTATGTGATATTATTTATATAGTAGTTCAAATCAATAGTGTAGCGAGAAATATTAAAGATTGGATATAATGAACTCATTATTTTCAAGTAGTTGACATATCACTTAGTGTGATTTGTGATTTTCTAACGCCATATGGTACCCTAAGACTGTTTAATAATTTTCATTCAAAACGTATCATTTATAAGCAATGTTATGTCTTTAATATTTTTTTTGTCAAATAAAAATTAAATAGATTTTATAATAATTTGTGCTATAAATGATATGTTTTTATTTTTTAAAATTAGGAATTTTGTTCCATAATTTTTTGTGCTAAAATTGCAAACTTACATCATCATCCCACACCGAGCTATTCCATACTATTATAGAATTTTGATTTGTTCTTATTAATAATGAATATGTAATTTTTAATGTTTAAATTTATCTCATAAAATTATGATTATCTTAATGCTGCTCATGATTTTTTTTAAATAAAAAATTATAATTAATAAGTGCCCCCTCTAATCTAATTTCCTGGCTCCGCCACTGCCAACAACACTAACAAGTCTGATTTTGACACAAGAGAGGAGATGAGGAGTGTAGTACAAAACAATAACACATGACAATTTAAGACAAACAAGTCATTACCAACATTTAACAATCTAATGTCAATATTGTTGGAAAATGGCTTTGAAAATCCTTACTTTTTGCTAACTTTGAGCATTAATTAAGGTGAGACCCAAGTGTTATTTTTAACGTTTTTTATTGGGTTTATATTTAATGTTGCGTAGTGAATAAGAACGTGTATTTGGTTGCTCAAAACCATTTCCGGATGAATGAGAATTTAACGTGTATTTTCGGGTTTGTGGAATTGGGTTTAGGTGGGTTTCCTACACATTTGTGAAATGTGCTTGTCCCACATAGGAAAGACTTAAGGTTTTGAATGGGTTTATATACCTTAACTTGGGATACTTGGGATGGGCCCCAAGGGGTACTCAAGTTTGTGGAAGGGTAAGATTATGGATGAAGTGGGCTAGACCCATTGGACCCAAAACTAAAACCACACACGCGCCGCCCGTCCACTTGGTCAAGCTGGCTAGTATGGGTGCGTGGGTTGAGCTTGTCCAGCCCAATACTTATCTTTTTGGGCCAAAATTTGTAATTTATTTTTTTTTTTTTTGGGTTTCAAATTTCCAAATAAAATTGGTCCAAAAATTTGTCCTTCATCCAAACAATTATTAACCCACCCGAACAAGTTTGAACCTGTTGAATCCTTCCTGGACAGATCTAGAATTGTCCAAACAGTCCAAACAAATTTTCTATCTATTGAAATCTGTCCGAACAGTTGCCCATCTGTTGGCACCTGTTCGAACAACCACCAATCTGCCTATATAAAGGTTGCTTCCAGGAATTCATTTCAATTCAATGTTTTCCTTAGAATTTCTTCCTTCTTCTTTTGTTCTTCCTGTACTCTTGTATCTGCTTCTGCATTTATATTTTAGGAAGAAAAAAAGAGAGTTACAACAGAGTTTTGGTTCGTCAGGCTTGAATTTGTATTGCCACAAATTTAAATGTTAGTCGTTGCATCATGGGAAGTAAATGCCGGTTAAAACTCAAAGCACCGGAGTGAGAGCGAAATCTACTTTAAGGAAATTGTGTCCAATACAAGCCTCGACATTAATTTCTGTAAGCATTTAATTCGGAAAAATAATTTATATAATTATTTTTTAAATTATTTTATTTTGTTATTTATTTAATTTACACACACACACCACTATGGGTATAGCAAATATTGACATTATATATAATGGAATTCACATTGACCCAAAAGAGGATTGACAACCATAATGTGAATAGTGCCATTGATGTTCATAATGTAAATATTGTCAGTGATGTCATAATGTGAATAGTTACATCATATTCCATCATATTTTTGGGTGAAGATTGGGAGTTCTATAGACATCAACAATCAGCAATACCAATATTGATAGGGGGAAAAAACTAGAGAGTTCATTACCAAAGCACAACCACAAACAATATTAATAACAAATTAATGTAATATTCAACAAAAAAATCAACATCAACAACATGGACAAAGAGTGAAAATAGGGAGATCATTCCAAAATCAAATCCAAAAACAACAATAATAATAGGGCAATGTAAATATATACATTAATGATTACATTATGTTATCATTGATTGAAAAACAGAAGGTGAAATAATGATACTTACTTTTGCTCCTCATTGTGGATGGGTATGGAAATTGACAGACCACACTCAGTTGACCGACAAGAAACACAGAAGAACGAACCATCCTCCTTCTGATATAAACCTTCGCAATAGTGACATGAAGTGGAATAGCAGTGGTCGATGACAATGGGCGGTGGAGGACAACGATGGTGAGGCAATGTGAATCTAGGGTTACGGTTTGGGAGTTTTTTGGGGCCAACAATGAATTTTTTTGGAGAAACTAGTGTTTTGTGGAGTGAAGAGATGGAATAGGAATGGTTTGTTTTCAAAATGGAGTATGCGTGGGAGAAATGAAGAGAGGGTACTTTGGTCTTACTACACTAAATGAGATCTAATGGAATAATAAAAAATGATTTAGGTTTTATGGTATAAAATTGTTAGGAATGAGATTTATGAAAAAAGTTTCCTATTTTTAAATATATAAATAACATATTTATCTTATTTTTATACATATTTTTACATTATTTAATATATAAATAATAAATATTAAACGAGTTAGCTAACCAACCAAATTTTAATATATTTTGACTTATTTATTAAAAATTTAACAAGTTCGAGTTCGAGCTTGAATGCAAAAAAATATAAATAAATAAATAAATAAAATTAAAATTTAACAAATTAAATTCAAACATTGTAATTATTTCGTTTTCAGTTTATATTTAAAAAAATTTAAAAAGCTGTCATAAAAACTTATTTGATAATTTTTTTTGGTTTATAAATGGTTGTCTCAGTTTATAAATTTGAGAAAAAAACGTACACTCAAAAAATAAGTTTACGTTGTTGGTTTTTAAACAGAAATTTAAAATTTGACTAACAAATTTTTTTTTCAATTAATTTTTTTTCAATTATAATGTGTATGATCCCATTGTCATAAATAACAAAAAATAAATATAAATATTTTAGGACCGTGAAAAACATGTTTTTTAATTTATGTTTTTAAAATTTTTCAAACATTTTATTAAAACCAAACCACATTTAGGGTTGGTTTGGGGTACACTATATAATCTATCTTTTTATCTTTTTATTTTTTTTTCCATCACATCACCTCTCTATTTTTTTGCACATCTTTTCATAAATAAACAAAAAATATACTTTTTTTAGGACACCCCAAATCAACCCTTATAGTTTATATTTTTCTAAAAATAAACAAAAACTAATTTATAAAATTTTTATAAATATTAAATAAAATAATAATAAACGTAAGCATTAACAAACACTAAACTTACCAAACCAAGCTCAAACCTGAACGGCTCTACCCAAAAAATGTACTATCAAAAGGGTAATTTTAGAAAATCAACTTTTTTCAAATGCAATAAGTATACTACCAAAAAAAGTTAAATTCCCCAAAAAAGACCAATATTTTAAGACGGAGGGAGTAACAATAATATTTTGGGACGGAGGGAGTAACAATAAACGTAAGCATTAACAAACACTAAACTTACCAAACCAAGCTCAAACCTGAACGGCTCTATTGATTTACGCCTCTCACCATCTCTTTTTTTATTTCTCTCTTCAAAATCAAAATTCAGCCTCTGAAACACATACCTACCTCTCGCTATCTCTGTTCCACCTCAAACCCTAGTATGTCCTTCTCCATTTTTTCCCTCTTTATCTTCCTTAGGAACCCATAAATTTCTCTCCATATTGATCAAACCTCTGATCTATGTAACATTTGGAATCTTGTAAATCACATGCCAATCTCTGTTTCGTTACAATTTATTAAAAAATAAGATTAAAAAAATCTTCTATTACCTGATTTTATCACAGAATCTACAATCTCTTTAGATTTTTTAATCTATAAAATACTAATCAATTTTCTGTTAATATTATTCTTTTTATTTTTTTGAAACCCTCGTCAGATTAGAAGAAAATTCTTTGATTTATCTGAAAAACTGTGAAAATTTTGTTGAAGGTCACAAATTTTGAGAAATTATAGTCAGTGTCTGTTTCTGAGTTTTTGTTTCATTTGGAGACCTGTGGCGAGAAATGGTGGGAGGTGGAAACAGGAGGAACGAAGGTTCGTTGGTGATTAAGAATACCAATGTGTTTGCAGCGCTTGAAACGCTAAGGAAGAAGAAGAAGTCTGATAAGGATCGTGGTTCTTCGAAGAGTAAAGGGTCTTCGGAATCAAAAGCAAAAGACGCCGAGTCGCAGGTTTTCTGGGCCCCAACGCCGCTGCCGGTGAAATCGTGGGCGGATGTGGATGATGAGGATGATGATGATTATTATGCTACCACTGCTCCACCTCAGACTGTTTGGGGTGAGACGAAGGAGAAGCAGGCACCTGTAGAGGTTTGTATATGAATGCTAGATATATGATTAAGCAATGAAATTATTTTTAATGATTAGGTGATTGGAATGTATGACATATATGGTTTATTGTTTAGGGAGACTTAGTGGCTATTTTATCAAGTTGAAAATTCGTTACAAAATAAGTCACTAATTGTAAGTTTTAGCAATATTTTAAAAAATTGATCGTAGAAAAAAGTCCCCAATTGTTAGCTTTTAGTGGCAGTTTAAAAAAATTGTTATAAAAGGTTTTTTTTTAGCGACGATTTTGCTATGACCAACTTTTCAGAGAACAAATTGATAAGACTTAATTGAAATTAAGTCTAATTATTAGGACCTGCTAGTAATTTACCTTATTGTTTATTTATTGAGTTTTGGTGTGTTGTTTGTGCTTGATTTTGGTAGCATTTTGTAGTTTATAACATGAGAATTTTATTGAAATGAATGAGTAGTAGTTTTGATGGTTTCTCATTTACGTTTTGTGATGGTGAAATGTTTTAAAACAAGAAGTCACCTCATGATTGAGTGATTGCATTATATGTTGTATATGGTTTATCATTTGTTTGGCTCACTTGTGTTATTTGTGCATGATTTTGATAGCATTGTAGTTTATAACTACAGAATTTTGTTGAAATGAATGAGTAGTAGTTTTGATTCATTTACATTTTATGATGGTGAATTTTTTGAAAACAAAATTTTACCTCCTAGCTGTCTTCAATTTGAAGCGTGTTGTGTTGATTGTTGTGCTGGTCATACCACTATCGATGCTGCTTATTAAATTTATGCATCTAGTCATTTGAGGTGTATTCTGTTGTTTGGTGTTCTAGTCATACCATATTTATTTTTTATTTTTAGCATTAAATACTACTCACACCATCATTGTGCTTATTATTAAATTAATAATAATGCTCATGAACTCCTCTTCAACTAGCATTGTTATTGATTGTTTTCATATACATTTGCTGGTGAAATGTGTTGTATATGGCACCATTCATTTATTCACTTAGTTGAGTATACCTGACTAGAAGAAGTGTTGTTAAGCAAATTAGCTTTGCAACATTCATTTTGCTTGTAACTTGAATTAGCTTCTGAATGTTCATCTTTTGTACCAAAAGACTATTTTGTTGGAGGTAGCCAGGGGATATGCCCACCTACCTGATGGTTGCATTTTTTTTTTGTGTGTACATGTATGGTCATTTTGAAGATGGAAAAATTCTTTAATTTTTTTTCCTCTGAAAATTCTAAAATCCCTCAAGACAGTGATTTGTGATTATGATTCAATTTAAAACAATGAATAGCAATTTCAATCAAAAAATCAATAACAAATCGGCACAACGATTAACGTGGAAAAAATTACAATTGGACTCTTCTAATTGTGATTAAAAATCACAAGCCAAAGTTACAAAACAATCTACTAAGAAGACAAAAATGAATTATACATAAGAACCTATGAAGCATGGATACGGCAAAATCAGCGTTGTGGCGGTGTCGGACACGGGGACACGTACTGGACACGCCATCTGCCGTGTCCCTTTAATTTAATTTAATTTTTTTGTAGGGAACACGTGTGTCCAGATCTGGACACAGCGTGAGACACGGCGAGGAGGGAGAGACAAAGGAGAGAGAGTGTGAAGGAAGAGAGTGAAGAGACAAACCTGTCACGTGATATCATGTTCGATCGAAGTTCCATCTAGTCGAAGATCGAAGCTCCATCAATCGATCGAATAGTCGAAGACCCTAGACGACTTCGAAGGTAAACCTCTCTCTCTCTCTCTCTCTCTCCTTGTCGAAGCTGAACGAAGCTAAAGACTTTTTTTTTTTTAAAATTAGATTTATATATATACAGACTATTTTCAACCTTCGAAGACTTTTTTTTTAAAAAAAATTATAGGTTTATATATATATATAGACTCTTTTAATATTGAAGAGTGTTTATAGGTTTATATATATATATATATAATTTGAACTATAGGAAAAATATATAATACATATTATAAGATGATATAAATAAATAAATAAAAAACACATGTATGTAAAATAAAATAAAAAAATTAATTGGAACACATTATTTAAAAAATATAATAAATAAATAAAATTAGTAATGTATATTAAAATAAAAATATTTATAAAAAAATTAAAAATTTGCCGTGTCTGTGTCCCCATTTTTTTAGAAATTGTTGTGTCCCGTGTCTGTGTCCGTATTCGTATCCGTATCCGTATCCGTGTCTGTGTCCGTGTCCGTGTTCGTGCTTCATAGACGAGAACTCTCAATTACCTAACGAATTCACGCCCGAATTGAACCGAACCCGATGTGCCTCTTCCACCACCGCTTTTACGTTGGAATTGCTTTGCCCAATGTTGAATTCACAACGCTGATGTTGAATCCACAACGATGAGCCATTCCGAAATTCAACAAAGCTTTAGGCCCAAATTTTTCGAAATTCACCAATGAACACCTCTCTCTTTTTGTGAATGAAAGAACAAAACAACCCTTTATGATAGTCAATATAAAACTTGTTGATCAATCGATCACCCTCAAATCATCAAGGAAAACAATACATAAATACTCTTCATTATAGAACACTTTGTTTTCTTTTCCTCTCTTAGAATCTGGATGGGTTAAACCCTAAAACGAGCAAACGGCGCACTTTATACTAAAGAGAGTTGCGACGGTCGCTCAATCGCAAGAAAGACTGCACGAGCGGTGTGACTAAACACATGTAGGCTAACCGCTCAAGCGCAACATCTACCACTCGAACAATAAAACATGCTTCCCAGAAGTTCAAAACGCAGGTAGAGATATTGGATGAAGCACTTCAAAGCTCAAGCGCACGAAAAACTGCTCGACCAGTTAATCAACTTTGATTTCTCCCCGTGCTTAGTCAGCAAAGTGGCAAACAAGGAATGCTCAAGTCAAGATACGGAATGTCAACACAAACTCCTCTATACAGGCACGATTCGGGTTGGATTCCCATCTAAACTCTTATAACTCACAAAGACAATAGAGCAAATAAAAATATAACTGCATGGAGTTTTGTCCAACGAGATTGCCAATTACAAAACCTAACACTCTCAACTCAATAACATCTTACTGGCCAATGTGGATGGTGTGCTTATGTATTTTAATATTGGGACTGCTTTTATACATGAGGTCTGTCGTGATTTAAAACATGACACATCTTTAGTGGATGTTATGACTTGGAATTCACTTTGGAATGGTGGAATTGTTTGTTAGTTCGAATAATCTCATTGGTCCAAGCCTTCATATTTTGGTCAGGTGATTGTAGCGTTGGTTTGAATCTATGTTGGATTTTTTTTAAGGACCTAATGTTCAATATCTTTAAATCATAACATTTGCTCCTAGTTTTGTGATTGCATGCAAACACTAGTCGGTTTTCTTTCTCTCTCTCTCTCTCTCTCTCATTCCTATGCAGCTATGCCTAAGTATTAGTTTCTTTTGCCAGAACTGCACTGCTTCTGGGAGAACTAGGCAATTGCTGCATGTTTCTTGTTAACCTGGCCTCTTGGGTTGTGATACTTTCATTTTTGGTAGGCTAGGGGTGTGTCTTTTACCTCTTGAAGGGGTGTTACCATAGGGCATGTATCGAGTTTCATTGTATTTTTTTGGGGTAATATAATGCACACTCACCGAAAAAAGAACCAGGCAATTGTACATTTTGCAATGACTGCTGGCTTTCATAACTATTTACAACCCAATACGATCTCATCCCTTACTATACTTCTTTTGTCATTTTTGCATGAATTCTACACTTGAGACCTTTTTGTCCGTACAGTTTCTTGTTTCATTTACACCTAGATCCTCTGAATATTTTTGTCACTGCATGGAATTTGTATCTAGGCATGTGTTGCATGACATGTGATTGGTACATGATGCAATCAAGGGTAACATGTGGCATTATTGTAATGGCTAATTAAAAAAATAGAAAATGGTCCTGCAATATTGTTACTTATAATTATTGTATTGAGTAACAGGAAAGTGAAAGTGAAGAAGATATTCTTGATGAAGGTGATGAGGAGGTAGAGGAAGAGCATGACCAAGTACAAGAGGAACCCAAACAACCCGAGCATGTGGTGAAGAAGGCCCCCGAAGTTTCTTCAGCACCTAAGGAGACAGAAAAACCACTTTCTAAGAAGGAAAAGAAGAAAAAGGAGCTTGCAGAACTCGAAGCCCTTTTGGCCGATTTTGGAGTTACCCCAAAAGTGGATAATGCCCAAGATGAACCACACGGTAATTATGTGATCAATTATTTACCTCATGATCATTCAGTTCTGTTTTTCGATGTGGTCTACTCTGGTTACTCTACATGCAGATTCAGATTTTTGCTTGTCATATCCAATTTTCTAGAATTAGGAGAAATCTCTCTTACACCGTAGTCTGAAGTTTCTGGTGGTGTGAGAATAGAATTTTATTGATCTTCGATTGTTCATGTTCTTTGAAGAATCTGATACGATTTCTCGCTTTGAGGGTTAGTTTTGCAATTAAAGTCAAGTCCCATGGGGTTTATAAAGGTGAATGTATGTAGTTGAAAGCATTCATTTCCTCTCAGGAGGCTGTTCGAGCCCCTCTCTCTATATATATATGTGTGTGTGTGTGTGTGCGCGTGTGTGTGTTACATGTGCACCCAAAAGCTTCCATCTGTCGATCATGGTTGAAGCTTATGACTTGTGCTGTCATTGACTTTTTATTTGATTTCCACCTTCATATTAGTGTTCATTACATTACTGTGAAGATAGCTCTTCTCAAATATTATTGCCAATTCTTTATGTAATATTATCTTGACTGCCTTCCAACATTTTTCTACAATACTGTTCTAATATCATTTTCATGTTGTCTGTCCAAAGAAAAAATGAAATAAAATAAAATAAAAAATAAATTGAAATCAACTACAGTTTGGTGTCCTTTTTGTTTGGTAAGTTCTCGTCGGCCATAGATATTATGATTAGTATTTGCAAAATCATTTCAGTTGTAAAATTTTAGATTGTAATATTATAATATTTTACTATGGCTGTGAATGCATGTCTAAACAAGTCTGTGAGACTCTGTCTGTTTGCTTGCATTTGCAGAAGTGACAAAAGAGACTAAAAATGGAGAGGCAAACGGAAATGAAAAGAAGGAAAACGGTCCTATAGAGTCCAAAAATGCAAAGAAAAAGAAAAAGAAGGATAAATCTTCCAAGGAGGAGAAGGAACCACAAGATCAGGCTAATAGCTCAGATATCATCAATGGATCAAAGGAAACTGCTAGGACTGAACAAGCAGAAGATGATATGTCCGCTGTTGATGTAAAAGAGCGGCTAAAGAAGATAGCATCTGCAAAGAAGAAGAAGTCCAATAAAGAGTTGGATGGTGCTGCCAAAGCTGCTGCCATGGAGGCTACTGCCAGAAGTGCAAGACTCGCTGCTGCAAAAAAGAAAGAGAAGAATCATTACAATCAACAACCAGTTCGGTAAGATGCCACCCTTTTTGTTCGATATTCATATGAACATGATCACTGATTGTTCATTTATAAACAGCGAGTTGTTGGGCACCGATTCTGTGATACACCTTTAGTAGTTTTGCAGTGATATTCAACCCATTAAAAAAAACAAGGGGTCCTTTTTTAGCGTTAAGATGTTAGTGTTGCTCATTTATCATGTTACGGCTTTTTCAGATAGTTTTGGTCTTTGAGAATCCCTCTATTGATGGTATTTGAACCTAATCACTAATTTGTATTATAGTAGTGCCATTCTTACCATGTACCTATTGCTCTTGTATTTTGAGAAAGGTTCCACAATTTTTTGGTGGTAGTTCTACTTGTCTTTACAAAACAAAAACCAAATACTTGTCGTCTGGGTAAAATTAGAAATCATTTGTCAACCTCCTTCACCATCATGCTTCTCCAAGTTTGCATGGTGTTGTCATCTTCGTGGTTTGAAAAATAGACCTGAAAGTGTGGATGTTGTGGTTGTGGCGCAACGAGTAGCAGTTGGACCTTGTGATTAGTACCCTTACATTGTGTGTGTATTTTGTTTTTGCTTTTGTTTTTTATTTTTTATTATCAATAGGGAGATAAATCTCCTATATTGAAGGGAAGGGGTAAGTGGTGAGAGAAAGAGATCAAGTTTACCTTGACATGTCAAGTCTTGGCTTTTCCCATCCATGTCATGTTAGGCTTATTGCGCCAATTGTGGGGAAGTTGATTGAAGCATTTATGACAGGTTTGTGAGGGCTACTAGTGAATATTTGGAGTTTAATCTCATCATTGCAAATTGGAATGACCGAGTGTAAGGGTCTTTTTGGTGAGCTTATATGAGTTGTTTATAACTTCTTTTTAAGAATTTGTGTCAAACTGTTTGACATACCTTCTATTTACAACTCATTAAGTATAAATAGCTTAAATAGGGCTCTTTTGTTTTATTATTTGGAAGTCTCGGGTAGGTTTTAATTTTTACTTTCTGATTATTAATTTTTAACTTGCAAAACAAGCCCTAAATTGAGTATAGGGAGTTAAAACTTCTAAGAATGGAACGAAGTTTGTTTGTTTGATACAACTTATTGTAAGTTAAAAATTAATGATCATAAAGCAATCAAAAGTTCCCCTCCTTTAACTTCTAGAAAATTAAAAAAAATTTAGCTTAGGTTAGTTATTTATGTCTAATAAGTTGTAAGTAGAAGTTGTATCAAATAATTTAATATGGATTTTCAAAATAAAATAAAATAAATTATAAGTGGCTCAAACAAGCCGCCTCAAACTGTCCTTAGGTTTTATTGAAGGCCCTTTTTTGATAATCCAATATAATACATAAAACAAAATTTTGTGAAAATAAATTGAGTGGGTGATATATTTGTAACTCATATTATTTAAAAATTTAAGGACTTAAAATGTGTTAAATCTTTTGGTTTTTTATTTAATGGTAAATTTGTAACTGTCTGTGTTTGTCATATCGTGGAGGTGTAGTGCCACCATCCAACAACCACCACCAGGAACGGACCCATGATTCGATCATTGGGGGATCAAAAACAAATATGAGAAGATAAGTGAAGTTAGATTTAAAGCAAGGAATTTTCATGTAATAAACAATTGTGATTTTTTATGCTATTAATTGAAAATAGATAAACTCTTATTTTTATTAAATATTTTATGTAACATTAATATTACGTTATAGCATCACTAATCAGTGGGAGTTTTTATATTGCAGTAGCGATAAATAATGATTGGGCTAGTGAGATACAAAAATTGTGAACTTAATTTAATTTATAAAGTGAATAATATAATTAAAATTTTATTTTAGAACATAACACGTTAGAGAGTTATCATGGTGTGCACTCTTTAAAAGCTACATATTGTACACACGTTATCACAATATATGTCTGTAGCATAACCATAACAAATTACAACTTCTTTCATCAAAATAGTTTGTAACATTTTGCATCACAAATAATTCGTAAGATTTACACTACACCGTTCATAACGTAACTACAATAATTCATAACTTTCACTTTCATTTTCACTTCACTTTTACTTTAGAGATGCATACCATAAATTAACTACTCGTAACATTTATTACACATAACACTACAAATATTCTAAACTTTCGTAAATAAAAAAAAAATCATATATTTCTTATAATAACATTTTTTTATATATATTATACTATTATTGTATTATAAAGAACTGTTAAAGAAAATAGTTAAAATTATAAGATGGGAGGAGGGCCATAGAAGAAGTTGGTGTGTTGAACTAAATCTATATATAGCAGAGCACCTTGTACAAAGCAGGGGGGCAGGGCCCCTGTAGTTCTATTTGTAGTTCTGTCCCTGACTACCACTATTATTATGGCGAATGTCACTGCCACTATTGTTATTTCACTGTCGTCACTATTGTTCAATTACCACCCTTTCCATTGCCACTATTATTAGAACCACTGCCACCATTCTCTCGCTCACTTTACCATAACAGAATCACTATTGTTGGCGACACCACATGGCTACAACCATTATTGTCACTCTATCATTGCCATAGTTGGCACAACCATTATCACTACCACTCCCATCACCTTTACCTTCTCATCACTATCACTTGTCATTATAGTGATTGGTTATAGTAAAAGAAGTTAGTGGAGAGTGGGTCTTCTAAGAGTATGTATTAATTTCTATTATGTCTCTCTCGAGTAGCTTTGTTTTGTTTTATTTATTTATTAAATTTTTTTTTTTTTGGCCGTAAAAAGCTCCGAATTATTTTCAATTTGGACAAATTAAAGACAAACTGTAAGATTATGGGGCAAATTTGCTATGATTGGAACTAGATAGAACAAATTAATACAATCGGCAAATCTTAAGGACAATTACTGTTGAACATTTTTTTAGGAATTTTTTGGCTACTAGTTTATATACTAATTAATTTTATTAAATGAAACCCAAAAAATTAAATGCCAATCAAAAAATTGTTGGATGTTGTTGGTTTTTTTGACTTTCGAAGGTTAGTACTATAATTTTAAGCGTGCCAGCAAGGATCAATCAGTTCTTATAGAAGATTAATTGTCAACCAATTATTAGACGATTGTGTTTTAGTTCTTTCAGCCTCAATGAAGATGACTTTTACTAAATAACAACTAAGTGAAGAATAATTTTAGAATTTGATTAAGTAAAATGAAAAACTTACAATGATCTGACCCAGCCTCGTAGAGATTTACAACAACAAGCTATTTGAAACTACTCCTATGAATGAAATGCAGTACAGAAATTTGAAGTACAGAAATGTAAAAAACTATAAAAATTGGAAGGGAAAACAAAGTAAATAAAACTGGTTTTTTGATCTGGGTCTGGATCCTTCACTCTGGGGCCTTCTCTGTTATTTATACTTCTCAATGATAACCGTTGAAGTGGGTTTTTAACCGTCGAAATGTCCTCTCATGATTGTTGAACATGTTCTCTCACAGTCAGTCCCACTACGCCACATTTACAGTTAGGCCTCCCTTCTGATTTTGAATTTGAACTTTGTGAGTAACTGTTAGACACATCACCTTATATCCCTCGATCGTTTCAGTGCTACGCAGACCCATTATTATCAATACGGGCTGACACGTGTGTGACTATGGTTGGCAACTGGTATTAATTCCCCAAATTGTCCTCTTCATGCCACGTGTTGAATTGTGATTGGCTTTTACAAATTATACAGCCAACATTACCCCCCGCACTAATATACCAATACTTGGTGATATTAGTGAATCAAGGCACTTTACCCACGTCCTAGGACGTGCATGAGCTTTGCATCTTCTTAGAACTGCAACCGACGTCCATCATTGTAATGTTTGTATTGCATTAAATTCTCTTCTACACCTTGAACATTTCCCACTATCTGAGCATTCGAAAAGACTAATACAATCCTCATGGCCAAGCAAACATTTTCTTACATTGATCAATCATACAAGGAGTCAATGGAAAATGGTTCTAGGCCTTGAAAGAATCTGGCATTTATTGATTACACCTATCCGCCTCTATTTATGCAAGTTATGGAAGCTTTCGCAACGTACCAACGTCTAGACTCGAAGTTCGCCAATTACGAACCCTTAGATCAAGCATTTGCAAAAATAGATCTTGGAAAATCTTCGTCTGCCCCATTATCTTCTGTATGGGACACAACTACTTCTTCCTCTACCCCACCAACCTCTACATGGGACACGGCTGCTCCTTCTTCCTCTAGGTCTATTGGCTGGGGAAGCTGGCCAGAACCTAATGAATCCAAGCTAAGAGAGCAAATTAACCATCGATTCGTCAAATTCGCTGATCCTCTGTCATTCCCTCCTTTTGCTCTGATCTTGGTGGTTTACTTCTATGTACTCATCGATCGCCAATGCAGTTTGGAAGACAACTTATTTATAGGGTGGTACACATCTTCTATGCCTACGAAAATTGTAATGCCCTCAACAAAAATAGCATTAATCCCATCAATTTAGACATGCATTGATATAAGAAATAAACATCATTCTATTCATCAGAGTAATTCTTTACAAAAGTATTACATGTTAACAACAAAAGTAAATGCCCTATGGGCTTACAGTTTTCCAAGTTAACACTTGGTTACAAAGAGGAGAGTACTAACTCAAATACACATTAAGCCCTTGGCTTGAAATTACATGTAACACAACAAAGATAATACAACCACAAACGTCTGCCTGCCTCTAGCCTCTCAAGTTATGTCTTTGGAGGTGGCATGCCTCCTGTACCTGAAAAATGGTGTCCCATATAGGGTGAGCCATAGCCCAGTAGAGATACACTAAACCAACTATAAGCAATGACTAAAAGATTATCAGTTGATAGATGGTCAACTCATATACATCCACTTATATTACATTTCTGCTCCATGATAATCATGTCCATATTACAAATTCACTTTCCATTTCTTATTCAACTTTGAGTCTGAAAACAAGGCTCAGTACCCTGGCCAAAACATTTGATGCAATTATAGTTCATCACTAAAACATTTCCGAAATTTATAGTGGATACACATTTTGATGCTGTATCATAGTCAACAAAAACATTCCTATATTTCTCAAATGATATACATTGTAATGCTATATCAAATCAACAAACAATTACATACTTCACGAATGATAATGATATATATTTTAATGCAATATCAAATCAAACAAACAATTACATACTTTACTAATGATAATGATAACATTTTAGTGCTATATCAAATCAAACAAACACTTCTAATTCGCAGCCTGATACACATTGTTAGAGGTGTGCATAA